AAACTTTTAATTTTTTTTCCCCTTTTTCTTTACAAAAAACCCCCCCCAGACAAAAAAAAAAAAAAAAAAAAAAAATCATACACAGCCCCAGAGAAAAACCAAGAACAACAACAAAAAAACCCAGGTCTTTGTGTGAATACACAGCTCTTTCACAGAAAGAGCCTGCAATAACAGTGTTTGCTCAGCATGTATCTGACAAAGCAGTTAGAACTCAAAAACCTTCTAGCTTAACAATTTCCGGAAGAGAGCTCAAGGTTCAGCTGAGATACCACACCGAGTAAGACGTGGGCAGTTGCCAAGAGTATCCGGTAACACCTGTGTGTCGGACTCATTAAAGATTTAACCAGAGAAGTCACGTGCACGCGGAAAAATGGCTGACGACTGCCATGCCTAATGCACGTCTCAAAAACTTTGAAAAAAGGAAGGAAAATGGAATTATCTCTGGATGAGGAAGATGGCACTTTCACCAACATTTCTTTGGCAGATGATTCAGGTAAGAAGCTACAGTAATCTACTGCTAGAATACAAATTCCACGGGCTGAATAATAGCACCGGGTGAGCACATGAATCTGTAGGTCCCGATTACCAGGTATAATGTATTTTTAGCGAATGCCCTCAAGTAAACTTAGTTGAATAAACCTTGCGATTAGTGAGGAATTGGAATTTTGGGGGTATGGAAGCTACCACAGTTTTAACATAATAGCATATGGGAATATATATTCGTCATCCAAGCACACATAGCCTGTCACTGTTTAGAAAGAAAAGGTTACAGAAATGTTAATTCAGTAGTTACTAGTATCAAGACAGTACAGATAATGCTGGCCTTTCCTCCGGAATATGGAACAATAATCTCTTTGACATATTCTAGTGAGAGCTCACATGAAGTGATGCAAATTAATTGGTAATGGAAAAAAGCTGATCCATTTAAAGCCCCGCTATTAAGCATTTAATTGTTTTAAAAGAAACTACAAAAGCAAAGACTGCCTTCTGCCCCCTTTCCCTCTCCGCCATCCGCCCCCCTCCCCATTCTAGCTTATGGAATAAAAAAACATTTGGAATGGGAAGTAGGATAGTTCTATGTACGGGAAAAACTGAGTGAGTTAATACAAATTGACAATAAATGATTTATAGGGGTGTAGCTAGAGTACCAACTTGATCATGTCAGCATGGCTGCCCTAGAGCTGTGCTAATTTACACTAGCTAGGAACCTGGATAGCTTGTTAATGAATTACACAAGTCCTATTCTCCCTCCCCTTTTTTTTTTTTAAAGTAAAGAATGTTATTGTACATGCTATCTTTACCTCCTATGTAAAAAAAAAAAAAAAAAAACACATGGCATTAATCCTATTTTTAGAACACAATTTTATAGGAATTTCATATTAGTGTGATGGTGCTGAACTGGATGTTTTGAGTACACTTTGTTTATACAGCACATTGCCTAAAGACATCAAGATGTGGTTGACCCGAACTATTTACAATAAGATAAAATTGGCAGACCTTGGCCCAAGTTGTGCAGTAATGGAGGGTTCTCCTGACACCGAATCTCACTCTTTCCCTGTAGCAAGGTGTAGAAGAGTACAGAAAAGGTATCCTATGTCCCTGTTTCACGACTGGCTGCACAGCTGATACCGTGGCAAGAACAGATGAGGGGGGGCCCCACAGTGGCAAAATTGTCTAGTCTCTGCAAGTCATCCAAAAGTAGCTGAATTAGGGATGACTCCACAACACTGGATGGGTGTTTTTGCCAATTTGCTGGTTTAGTCTTTCGGAAGATGTCAAGTTGCTTTCTTTAGAAGGCAAACACCTGCTAGCCTCCTCTACTACTCTAACCTCAGCTTCCTTGCAGCTTGGAAAACGTTAATACACATGAGAAAACAGAGGCACAAAGTTAAAAGTGCTCACATTCAAGCACCAACTGACACTAGATAGCAAAGTATACTCGCTAATGCAAAGCCCTGACAGATGTCACCGATATAAAAGTAGCTGCTGAGCAACAGTGTAAGTAAGACTCTACCACACCTCAGAAGATGCACACTTCACATTTACTGGACTCTTGACTGCAGTAACACACCCAAGGTCAGAGAAACCTCATGTTCACAACACAAAGAGGACCATAAGCAAGACTTCTTTATACAAGATCTGCAACCAATATCACAGTTTTGTCCCTAGTAGTGAAGAGGTGGGGACAGCCACTCAGAGGTAGAGACAGACATTCAGAGTAACTGAAAATAAGTGACATCTTCAGGCAAGCTTTTAACTTGAAGGCATAGAGGGAGAATACAGTAAAATTCACAGTGAACATGATATGGTCCATTTCTTCTGCTGGAGGGCAACACTGGAGGCTAAAGAGAACTAACCTATAACAGGAAGAGATTATCATATACTTTGTAGGAAACAGTCTTCCTTATCTCTCCCAGTTGAAGTTAAGACTAATTACAGCAACTCGAGCACAGAAGCTAACAAACAGAATGGGCCTTATAGTTCTAACTGTAAGGTTGGAAAACATCAATTCCAGAAAAGCAGGGAGCATAACATAAAAGTTTTGTATGGTGAGAGAGAAAAAGATTGCTTAGGATGAATAACAGCAAGTTCACGTGAAGAATAAGGAAACTAGACAGATCATAAGTGGACTTTGCTTGAGGACAACCCAATGCTTTAGAAGCAAGTGTCCCATAATTAAATTTTTAAGTAGGATCACAAAAATGCACTGGTTTTAATAAACTCTAGTACATTTGTAATGGCATAAAGCTTTCCCCTCATTTCTTAAAATGTACTGGAAAAGATACTAAACAGACGAGTAGAACAACATGGTACATGTATGTACAATCTAAAGCATAATCAGAATACAGCCTTCATATCAAAGTTTCTTTAGTACAGTGAAAAGCCACTGTGGTAAAGCAACAGGGGTTACTGAGCCTCATTAACTGAGCGCAAGGAATGAATATTTAATAGCTATGGCTCTTTCAAAACAGCAGCATTTCTCTATTTGTTAAGTATACAGCTATTTAAAATAGATCACTTCCATGTAAATCAAGATGAACACAAAATGGTAGCAAGATAGAAACTTCTTGATAAGTATTTTAATAGCGATATCAAAAGTGAAAATATTTTCACCCTTAATGAAAGGAATACCTTTTCATTTAGAAACTCATAGCAATTGATAAAATTCTCTCAAAATTACCTACTCAAACAAAAATACAGGGGAAATTAAACAAAAATTAAACAAATCAGTAAGATGATGCCTAACAGCTGCAAAAACTTCTGTATCGTTCTTCTGATCAATGCTCTATGAGTAAATCAAGGCGCTCTTTCTTCATTGTAAAGAACCTAGAAATTCTCTCTTTTTTCTAATACACTTTCCAAAAAGCCAACATTAAGGATTACATTTCTCTCATAAACCCCTCCTTTTAAAAAGCAGATACAAACCTCTAAATTTTTAAGTCTAACTTAATGAGATGAAAAACTCTTACCTTTCTGCAAGTTATTAGTAAAGCTTCATGGAATTTTGCTAAAAAGTCCTTCTACAAAATTTAGTGGCAAACCTACAGTTGATGATTTCAAAGAGGATCGAACTCTTAACAGGCCAACATTAATGTCATATATGTTGGTATTCACACTTTCAAGCTGCAGAGATTTCACTTGCTCAGTCTATTTAAAAACACATTTTTGTGGAGCCAGAGTAGAAATGAGAACATTTGCACTCCTGCACCATCTTGCAAAAGATAGGACACAGTGATGTTAGAAGGCAGGCCTCTTTAGGGTTAAAGAGAAGATATGATTTGCTTTTTGTAGACTTTCCAAAGAGGCTGAATTTTTTTCCCTCAACTGTATGCTCACAGGTTAAATCATCTGATGAGGCTCCATTCTCATTCAGGACCCAAGGCACCAAAACATGCACAAACAACAGTTAGCCCAATGTAAGCCAAAATAGCTCCTCATTTTGTTTGATTTGGTTGAAAAAAGTGCAAACTAAGAACTATTCTCATTCTGCATTTGACAGAAGCCTATAATTGTAAATTTACACAAGGATGTGCACAAGGCTACAACAGCCTTTTGAGGTTACTTGGATGGAGTAACAAGTATTGCAAAGAATTCTGGTGTAAAACAACATTACTTGAAAAAGAAATCTTGTCAGAGTCTGTAATTTCCACAGAGAAACAGAATGATGAAGATTTGATGTAAAGGGTCTTGTGAGTTAATCTTTGCAAGGAAAAAAGAATTAAGCCCTTTGTGTTCATTTTTGTCTTTTTCTTTGTGGCAATAATTAGTTACAGGAGAAAACAGGACAGTTCAAATAGCAATCTCAGAAATATGTACAATACCTTCTTGTGTTAGTGAAAAGGAGAATACATTTCTATTCTAGTGGTGAACAGTGAACCCTCTGTCATCAGTGAGCTTACGCAGGCGCCTCTAGCGCCTGTAACGTTGCCAAAAAGGAAGTGAAAGGCTTGTTGGTTTGTACTGTGTACCATGGAAAAAACAGGATGTACATCAGAGCTGAAGAAATAAAACATCTGAAAATGTTTGTCATTAGAATCTAGGTCCAGAGCAACAAAATTAGCTCCTGCAGTTTTGTAACTGTATACATACATGCATTCAGGTAAACTATTAAGGCGGCTCTATATCCTAGGGAGATTGTTGCTATTTTAAGCAAAAAATGCTCTTTTTCAGTAAAGCTGAATAAATTAATTCTTTGCCAGCAACATCAGCTAGTTTTAGGAAAGCTTAATTGGAACTTAGTATGCAAGTAAGTACAGATAACTGCATTTGTAAAGTAAAACATGTTCCTATACATTTAATATACATGACAATATTATGAATCTCTCCTCTGCTTTAACCAAATGCCTTAGAAAATAGAAAATGAATTAGTAAGAAAGAAAGGAATTAGCAACTGTTCTTAGTTACATCCAAGTCAAGTTTTGACTTTAGGATCTCTGACACGCTGCTAAAAATTACAAGCTCTCTTTATAACTCTTTAGTCAGAAAATCCACTTACCTGAAGCGACTAATCTAGTTTGTAGTGTAAAAACAGTTTAATAAACCAAACAGTAGAACATTACTTAGGGCAGCATCCAAGCATTTTCTAGTAACAAATAGAATCCTCTTATTTCTTCTTTTAAATTGCAGAGTTGTTATGCTGCTCCCTGGGAGAAAGCAATTAACTTCCAGCATTTGTGAATATTATTTAATTTTCTTGGTAAGAAAATTCTCTAAAGTAGGGAGCAGTAGGTTTGTAAACAAAACTAAAAAAAAAGCTCTGTGAACACTGGTTGTGCTCAGCCTCTCAGCCTTGTACTGCATATTCCAAAGACTCAAAGTAAACAGCCACATAGTGAACTTGACCAATTTGCTCACACTTACACATATTTACCCCATTAATTTTGACCCTCTCAGTGAGTGGGGAAACCACAGAGAAGCAAATATACTGCCAGATCCCTGCAGAAGGACTGTTTCAGGTTCTTCTAGGAACAGTTCCCAGACAAGACTTTCCCTGCTAACAACGTAAAGAGCAAAGAAAGGACACTTTCTAACACAAGAGTTAACAAAATACTACAAGCTGATAAAAGCAAGAATTGTTATACAAGGGCTTGAATTGGCCTTCTCCAGTCAAAGGGGACACAAAGCACACCCCTGAAATGCAAGGTACTATTGGTACCCCCTACACACACATTGGTATCCTTTCCCTGGGACACATTCTGCATTATAAAAGAAATCTTATTGTTTGGGATATACTCTAAATCCCTATAGCTTCAAATTTAAAGTCCACAAGTTTAATTCATGATATATTACCCAATGTAAGACAGGTGAGGTAAGGAATTTGACAGGCAAATAGATAAGTCATGTGATATTCTAAGCACCTGCTAGTTTCGTTGATTTCTCACAAAAAATACTTCAGGCTGTGGGCTTTTTTCTGTGGCATGTTGGGTTTGGCTTTTTGTTTGTTTGTTTGTTAAATCTAGTAATGCATCAGATATTTAGAATCCTGAGGTTGACTTCCTTGCACAGGAAAATAGAGGGAGGGTGAGGAAGGCAAACCTTTTTAAGGGAAAGCAAGATGAGCTAGGCATTCTCTCTCTGTGGAATTTGCCCCCAGCAGCATCAATCCAGCAGCCTTCAGTCCCTGGTCTGTGCAGTCCACAGCCAGGTCACACACAAACAGTTTCTAAGTGTTGGGGCCCCAGAGCATGGACCAGCTTTGTACAATTTCAGATACTGGGGTAAAGGGGTTCATATTAAGCACTTGCAGTAGGAAGATGCATTGTGTGAGACCCAGTGCTGCAGTACAAACCTAAGGAAGCATCTGTGCCACTCTTTAACACTAATCTAGTAACACACAGCACCATGTAGACTAAAGACACCATCTGTTCCCTGCTGACAGCCCCTCTGCCACCCTAACAGTGGAGGCTCAGATAAAGACAATTTTCTCTAAAGGAAAACCAAAAACCTCTCTCACACTTTAACTTCTGAAAAGGAGTTTCAGCCTGGTGCTCAAGCTCAAATTTCAGAGTTAAGAATTAAAAGAAAATACAGCCAGAAACCACAACCGTGCAAAGCACAACGAACCCTCAACAGTACACATACAAAAAATGGAAACAGTAGGTAAACCACCAACTCTTGGAATTACTACTCTGATTCAACTACGACAACATAGTAGCCAATATGTCTAGATTCCATTTTGTGGTAAACCACCAACTCTTGGAATTACTACTCCAATTCAACTACGACAGCATAGCAGCCAATATGTCTAGATTCCATTTTGTCCCATAACTTAATGTGAAGGATTTTCCCACTGCTCATTTTGGGACAGTTTAGACAACAAACTGCAAACCCAATGCAGTAAGCAAAGTGGAATTTCTACAGCAGAGAGGTGCATTTCCCCAAGACTTACCTGCATATTCCAGTATAAAACACAGCAAGTCCTTCACCAGGTAAGCAAGCTCTCCACCCATCTGTATCCACCTGCAGACTCTGGCCATGTTTTTTCCTTGTTAATCAAAGTGACTGCTTGCAAGAATTAAGGAGCATTACTGAGTGAAAAAGGCCTTTTGTAGAGAAGGTGATACATTTTTAAGTAAAACAGCTAATGGAACTGAAATCAACAGACTCATTTTCCAGTACAAACAGACTGCAGGCCTCTAAAGTTTAGACAACAAACTGCAAACCCAATGCAGTAAGCAAAGTGGAATTTCTACAGCAGAGAGGTGCATTTCCCCAAGACTTACCTGCATATTCCAGTATAAAACACAGCAAGTCCTTCACCAGGTAAGCAAGCTCTCCACCCATCTGTATCCACCTGCAGACTCTGGCCATGTTTTTTCCTTGTTAATCAAAGTGCTGGAGACTGTCTTGCTAGAAAGAATTACAAGAACCTGTTAATTGCCAGGCTTGCCACATAACAAATGCAGCAAGCAAGATCATAACAAGGTGAGAAGCACCTGTCATGTATAAAGAGCAATCAAGGAGAGTTACTAACAAGCTCCTAAAGCCCAGCTACCACCTGAGAGGACTGCTTGCAAGAATTAAGGAGCATTACTGGGTTAAAAATGCCTTTTGTAGAGAAGGTGATACACTTTTAAGTAAAACAGCTAATGGAACTGAAATCAACAGACTCATTTTTCAGTACAAGCAGGCTGCAGGCCTCTAAAATATGTTTTCATAACTTGAACAGCATTCAATCTAATCAGCATTTATGTGATTGAGAGGTTAAAAAATATATTAACACAATGTTAATAATATTGTGGAGGCACACAGAAGATGTAGATATCAGAAATACGTACCTTCTGAAGTGCATTAAAAATACAGTAGAGGGCACACTTCTCAAATGCCTTTATCTTCCTGAGTATCTCTGCAGCACCAAATTATTTATTTATAACCGGACATATTCCTGCAACATAGGGATATGATATGAATATCATATCCTGCAACATAAGATTCAAACATAGTACCTATAAAGATACTACAGTTTACACAGTGCAGTCATTTCAGTGAAGCCACTAAAATTAGCTTAGGGCCTGCATGTTCTTTTTACTGTAGCTTGTAGACTGTCCTGCAAGGTCCAAAGGGAGCAAGCACCCTGTGCAGCAAAGGTTATTCCCTCTGGGGAACCAGGGAAAGATGACAGAAAGAGAAGTGGTGGTTTGGAGCTACTGAGCTACTAGGTGAGATCAACTATGCAAAATTACTTAGGTTTCTGTGTGGTGTGATCTCTCATGCTGTAAGATGCAGAAGCAAGGAGCTAAATCAGAGGTTTCTTAGCCCGAACACTGCTGTGCAGAAGGCTTATCCATCTGCTGGAGTGGAAGCAGTGTGGCCAGGTGTACACGGTGCTGAACCAGAGCAGGTGAAGTCTGCTGGGCTTTGGCAGGGAGACTTCTCCCTGAGAGCTCCGTGCACTGCAACCACAGGCACACTCGGGTTTCTCTGAGCTTAGAATCATTGAGGCTGGAAGGGACCTTTAAGATCATTGAGCCCAACCGTTAACCCGACACTGCCAAAAACCACCACTAAACCATGTCCCTCAGCACCACGTCTACCTGTCTTTTAAATACCTCCAGGGATGATGACCATAGGAGCACCTCTCCTATGAAGACAGGCTGAGACAGTTGGGGTTGTTCAGTCTGTAGAAAAGAAAGCTCTGGTGAAACCTTAGAGCCCCTTCCAGAACCTACAAGGGAGTTGTTCAGCCTGGAGAAAAGAAGGCTCTGGTGAAACCTTATAACCCCTTCGAGAACCTACAAGGGACCTTCAGGAGAGCTGGGGAGGGACTCTTTATCAGGGAGTGCAGTGATAGGACAAGGGGTGACAATTTTAAACTGGAAAAGGGAAACAGCTGGAGACTGTCTTGCTAGAAAGAATTACAAGAACCTGTTAATTGCCAGGCTTGCCACATAACAAATGCAGCAAGCAAGACCATAACAAGGTGAGAAGCACCTGTCATTTATAAACAGCAATCAAGGAGAGTTACTAACAAGCTCCTAAAGCCCAGCTACCACCTGAGAGGACACGAATTCACCAGCAAAAACGTCGACCCTTCACTCGATGGAGCGCTTACTAATTCCTTCCACCGTTTCACCCCGCAACTTGGCGGCGTTTAAGGGGATTAAACCCACCCGTGAGGGGGCTGCCCGACGCTTTTCCCGCCCTCCCCTCAGCCTCCCCTCAGCCGCGCGCCAGCGGCCCGCGCGAAATATGTTTTCATAACTTGAACAGCATTCAATCTAATCAGCATTTATGTGATTGAGAGGTTAAAAAATACTTGATGACCTTTAAGGTCCCTTCCAACTCTAACCATTCTATAGTGATTCTCACCACTTACCTGGGCAGCCTGTGCCAATCTTTAATAACCCTTTAGGTGAAGAAAGAGGTTCCTCAGGCTTTGCCAACCTGAGAGAGATACACACCGGGGGAACACCTACCCTGTTCCTAACTTCCCCCGAACACCACAGGGGGGGCTGAGGGCTCCATAAACACGAATTCACCAGCAAAAACGTCGACCCTTCACTCGATGGAGCGCTTACTAATTCCTTCCACCGTTTCACCCCGCAACTTGGCGGCGTTTAAGGGGATTAAACCCACCCGTGAGGGGGCTGCCCGACGCTTTTCCCGCCCTCCCCTCAGCGGAAAGGATGCTTTAAGTTCACGGCTAACGGGCCCCGAAGGGCGGTGGAGCTGCGGTAGGGTCCTGCGGTTCACCGGCCCGGTGGGCGGGTGGAGTGCGAGGGGAACCGGAGCGGACAGGGCCCCGGCCCTGCAGGCCCCTGACAGCAGCGCGGAGGAGGGGGGGGCACACACATTATGAGGGGAATTAGGGTGGCTCTGAGGGGAAAGTGGGGGCTTTTAATAGCTATTTCCAGAAGGCTAGGACAGCAGCGCGGGGTGGGGGGGGAACGCACATTATGAGGGGAATTAGGTGGCTCTGAGGGGAAAGTGGAGGCTTTTAATAGCTGTTTCCAGAAGGCTCGGTGGGCAGAAGGCAGCTGTCGCATCAGCAAAGCACAGGGTTGTGTTATACCTGAGGGAGCGATGTAGATCCTCCGTGGACTGAAGCGCAGCCGCTTGCGGGATGGTGTTTACAGGCCAATGATAATCAGTGAACGTCCAAAAAATGTTGTTCTGGCTTAGGCCTCAGTGCTGGCTTTTCCACACCAATTCGATAAAAAAAAAGCACCTAAAAATTCAAACATAAAGGCAGTTTCGTTAACGCTAGCCTCAGCCTCCCTTCTCTATTTTTTTTTTCCCCTTAAGCAGAACGTCTGTCAGGAAGACTCTCATCAAAAGTGGAAAGAGCCCGTCCTGCCATGATGAATTCCGACATGGATGGTATAAGTTCTTAACGTTCTTGTTCTTTGTTCTTATTTATTTCTATTTAATATATTAATTTCCAGCTGTTGCAGAGGTTGCATTAAAACTCTTGTGATTTATTGCAGCTGTTGAGGCTGAGAATCAGGTGGAATTAGAAGAGAAAACACGGCTTATTAATCAAGTTTTGGAACTGCAGCACACACTTGAAGGTTAGCAGTTTGACACATCAGATTTTTTACAAGCAGAGTCATTAGCAGAATAAGAGAACATCGCTCTTCTACTCTACCTTAGTCAAAGTGTCCAGAAGTATGTCATTTATGCAGTTGAAGGTACCTAAGTGAGATCTCAGAACTATTATTCTTTTCCTCTTTATGCAATATGTTTGCTCAACTCCTGTAACACACATCAAGCAGAATGGGTGTACAGTTAACATTCCCAGACTCATTAATTGACATACATCTTTGAGTCTGCTCATCACCGACCTCTTGTTTCCAAATAGTTTAGTTTGCAGTAGTTTAATTCAAAAATTCAATAAACGTATAAAGATACAGACTAACAGTAAGTTTGTATAACAAGTTTGTCTGAGTACTGTACTACAAAATAATATTGGAAAAACGGGCTTTAGGTAAAACCTGTGAGTAGCACAGTGTTCTATAAGGTAGTACCTTATGGCAGTGTTTCCCCGCATTAAAATGTGAATAGTTTGATATAGGCACATAGAACGTATTAATTATTGCATGCAACAGTGTCTAATATTTTTCTTATACTATCACCTTCGCAGATCTCTCAGCACGAGTGGATGCTGTTAAGGAAGAAAACTTGAAACTGAAATCAGAAAACCAAGTTCTCGGACAGTATATAGAAAATCTGATGTCAGCGTCTAGTGTTTTTCAAACAACTGACACAAAAAGCAAAAGGAAGTAAGGGTTGACTCACAGATGATGTCATTGTATTGCTGCTGTCTTTTTTTGTTTTAATTGGCATAGGCTACATGAGCTAAAATACCTTAGTTTGTGGCTTTACCGGATACCTGAAGAGCATAAACTTTGGTGAGAAACAGAATTAAGAGCATTATCATGAACAGGAGACATAGGTTTGTGTATTGTTAAGATTAAGCAATGTGCAAATGTAGTGTAGAAACTTACTAAACTTTAATACTTGTTTTAAAAATGGGCATATCTTTGTTAAAAACTGGATTCAGTTTGTCAGGTTAAACGAAAGTCTGTTGGCACTCTTTGAGGTCTTAGGGCAGCATTCTCGACTAGCAAAATAATAGTTACAATATTGTGTTGAAACCTTATTTGATAAAAATAATCCGTCTAATATCATCACCTTTTTCACCTCCAGTATATTTAGATTACTGTATAGTGCTGTTCATAGCTCTGCAAAGCAACTTCAAACAAAAACCTATAAACCGGTTAAGAATTTCTCTGAAGTAATAACAATATGACATTATTTGCAGGGTTTGTGTACAGAAAAACAGTTAAAACTTTTTGGGAAGGGGTAGGGTAAGGGAAGAGGAACAAGGATAAGCAACTTGTGTCAGGGAAATACCAAATCGATGCAGTATCAGAGTGTAGTTTGTAAGATGTACACCTCAGACCATTTTCACTTTCCAATTTCCTCAGAGAATGATCAGGCACAGCATGACGATGTATCATCTTCCTGAAGTTTTTCAGTTGTGAGATGAAGAGGTTTTATTTACAAAAACCTGAGGAATAAGCTTTACAGAAACGGGTGGTCAGCAACGTTCCCCACGCTCCTTGTGAAGGACTTGCAGTGAGGAACTGAGAACAAGTCTTTCGTCGCCACCTTTTAATTTTCCTCCTGAAGTGCCAAACTTGTCTTTGCTTCAGGCCTTAGAGCAACTGTTTTCCTGCCCCAGAGCCTGAGCTTGTGAAGTACCTCTTGAGGCGCTGCACAGAAACATCTAAGGCAGAAGACTGCAGTGGAACAAAGGTGGCTTTTGCCTCGCCAATCTCTGCTGCTCTGAGCAACGCCTAGTGTCAAGGTGCCCTGTTTTTTACTTCCTTGGCTGTTGGTGAGCAGGCTTTGTCCAGGAGCTCAGCCCAGATTATGGGTCTGAGCACTTCCTGTAGAGGCAGGAGAGTGTCTAATGTAATCAGTATTAAGGGAGAGCAGAAACTGAAACAAACGACATAATTTTAGCAGTACTCAGTTGCATGTTTCATCTTGCCATACAGCAGCGTTGCAGACTTATTTATGGATGTTACCTAGAAGTGAGTTCTGTCTCTTCAGTAATGAAGCCATTGTATACTTTACGTTTTAACAAAAGGAAACCATTAGTTCAAGAATGTCTTTTCAACCTTGCTGTGATGAATTCTGTAAAATAGAGCCACAGGAACTGGCTGTAACGGTAGAATAAATCCCCCTCAAACCCCAGGTTTCTCGGCAGTTAAGTGCTGCTGTGTCCCAGGTGTCAGCTGGCACCGCGAGGGTTCCTGCTCCCAAAGGTGAGGGCTCCAGTTCCTCCCCATTTAAGATGATGGGGAGAATTTGCTCACTGGAGCATCAGCAAAGAAAGCACTGATAGTTTGGTCTCGAGGGCTGTTTACAAGTTTGAGTCAAGAAACCTGGTGATGACAAAAGTTTTACCCACCAAGGCACAAGTGGCTGATACCATTTGTGCCATGGGGTGCTGTAAACATCCAAATTTATTTTTAATCTATGAACTATACTCTCACTTTACTGCCTATCTGGAACTCTAAATTCATCCAAGAAGTGCTAGCAGGTAGAGTAGATCACTTGGTTAGCCCAGGGTTTGAGCATTAAAAAGAAAAAACAATCACACTAAGCACTTGACTTCTAAAGACTGCATTGCATTACAGCCATCCTAGCTTTAAAGCCACATCACTGCACATCTCCATCTGCACTGTAGGAGATGGAGTGGTAACAGCATGCGCTTGTTAGACATCAGCTATTCCCCAAGATCAAGTTATCTTAAAATCATGTTTGTATTGTAAGATTGGATAGTGATATTTTAATCCATCGGTGTGTATATAATAACCATTTCATCTATAGACCATTTTACATCCCCACTACTGTGGCCTTCATTTAACTTATGAACATTTTAAAGATGTTGTATTTCTGACTTTACACTAAATAAAAACTTTTGATTTGTCTCGATGAGTTTGGTTCAACATTTGTAAACCCTAAGCCATCTCATAACTGTCTGTAGTCAAAAGGTGGAAAAGTAGTCAGGTTTGCCATCGTCTTAATTGTTTCTACAAAGCTGAAGTGTCTGAAAAACCAGAGGTAATTAGCAAATATTAAGATTAAACCTGGGTTGGTTAATTTATTTTCAGCAAGCTTCCAGTTCCTGACCCGCTTGGTATTTTCACCCATGAATTTTACAATTCTGTATATTTTTCTGGCTAAAGGGAAAGGATTGGTAGACTGCACTGAGTGCTGTCAAAGCTGAAACTTGCACCTCTTCACCCAGGAGAACTTTAAGCCAAGTTAAAATAGATGAGACTTTACCTTTTGCTACACAGGTAGTGAGCGCTCTATTAGACAGAAGCCAGAATTATTACTTCATCGTAGCTTCCTGAAGGTAGAGCCTAACTGGGGAGTAGCTTCAGTTGTAATTAAATAAAAAGGCCTCAGTGGTCCTTAGCTTTCCCTGAATAATGAAAATTCTCCGTCTGGGATTTGGTGTCCTCATTATGACCGCTTTTAGGAAGCTACGATGTAGCTGGTGGGAGTGCAGGCTGTGGAGTTCTGCTGCTGGTGGAGTTCCAGAGATGACTGACAGTTTTAACAGCAAGGCGTCCTGGAACTGGATTTCCATTAGTTTGTTAATTTCAAAGCACTTTAAAGCAGCCATGATAACAAGATCGAGTATTTTTCCTGAAATACCTGTTCAGATATAAAAGGACTATGAGCAGGAACTGCAGGTGAAATCTGAATCAAGCGGCAATGGAAGGGCATTCCCTCTGGCTTTCTAGATCCAGAGTCTGAAATCCACAAAGCCCTGATGCTTCTCCCCTAATTACCAGCATGAGGCTAGATCCAAGTAAGCTGATGTGCAGAAGGATGTCTTCTGCCTCCAGCTTCCAGGTAATGGGAGTCATTAAGTCAGTATTGAAGTGAGATGGGTCTTGCAGAGTCAGTATTACTGCAACGAGCACTCTTGAGACCATTTTACCCCTAATAAACGGCTCCTTATTTACTGAAGTGAGGTACAAGCAAAGATGTTGATGTCACATTAATCAAGACCTTATAGGACCCTTAAGTTCAAAACCATAAGGGAGGACTAGCATCCCCCGTGGGGTGACCAGTTCCTGGAGTAACTCTATCACCAACCCCAAACAAACCAAAACCATCCCCAAAACCAAATGCTGGAGCAATTCTAAAGGACTTTTACCAGGCTCAGACAATATTCATTCAAAGAGAGTACCAAAGTGCTCCCTGACAGCTCTCAGTAGCTGCTACTGGCAAGATACTGCACCGGTAACAACCATCTATTGCTTGGAAAGTCACAGGCAGGAGGAGGAATCTGGAGTCTTCACTTCTTACGTTTTGCCTGTAGACCCTAAATAAAGAAGAGGGAACTTGCATTTAACTTTAAAAAAAACACTAACAAACCCAAACCCCCCCAAAACTAACCAAAGAGGTCTTTCCGTGTAGTTCACACAAAATAGTCCAATATAATTAACTTTTGAACGCTTCAACGCAAAAACTTCAAGAGACTGGCTTCTTCATTAGGGTTGATTGAGCATTCGTTTGTTCAAGACTTCACCAACTCTTTGCTGACCTGATTTGTTGTGAAAATACTTATTTTTTTAGATGAACTAACATCTTGTCAGGCACAAGGAAATCCCTTAGGTACCTTATGAATTAATGTATTTCTACTTGTATTTAATGTATCACTGCTTTTACTAGCATTTTACATCCTACTAATACTATAGGCAGCAAGAGGTTTCTGGTGACTGCAGTTTTATTGTTTCTTTTAAAATACAGCTGAACTTGAACAAAACAAAGTTTCTTTTACAATATGCATTTTATTTAAACTATATTATGAGAATGCCCAGTTACTCACATCTGTAAAAAACTTAATCCATCAAAAATTCTTATCTATATTAATAAATTTCATGTTAAGCAAGAATTATTAAATATTTTTAGGAGGCAATGTACACTTAGCAAGTATTCTATAAACAGAGGTTATACCACTCTGGCTTGGAACATGAGAACTATAAAAGTTTGAAAAAGTCATCTGTATCTCACTCCTGCAGATTTGTACCTGCATTCAAAAGTAAAACAAGTCACATCAATTACCACTTGTTCTATGCATATTCTATTTTAAAATATCTCTTAAAAATAAATTACTGTAACCGAAGTCTAAAGTGAACAGGTGACCACCCATGTAACAAGATGAACTAAAATAAATAATTTACAATAGAAATTGTTGCTAGCACTAAAATCATCTTACAAAAACAATTATTGCATTTAGCTCCGCACAGAAAAAAATACCTTTTCTCTCAGCAATGGGAACTGCTATAGATGCTACATCTTTACTATCATCCTCTTTTAGCTGAAAAGTGTCAACAGCTAATTTTGTGCCAGAGCTGCAAAAATATTATCATTTACTCATGTTTTTAAAAAATATTTAAATTAAGTTTATCTCCAACTAATACTAATTTCTAGGCATCTTCACCTTAAAATCAGTTGGCCAACTTGTAGTTTCGCTTTTACTCTGAATCCAAAACATCAGCTACCTCCTCACAGATAATATTTCTCCTTTAAAAAAGGGAATCAACGAAGTTTGGGAGGGTTAAAAGAGGTTAGAGAATTAAAAGAGGAGGTTGAGGAGCAATGAGTCCCCTTTTTTCCTTCAAATCTCAGGAACTTGCATGCTGTCAGGCGCACTGAAGTGGCATCCCCAAAGTTACTATTATCTAGAACTACAAATACAGCTCAAAGTAACTCAGTCCTTCCGTACTCTTCTTTTGCGCACCGATTTCAGTGGGCCATCTCCAGAACCTGTGCTTTCATCAGCTTCTTTCATCTGAAAAGTAAGAGGAGGTTGAGGAGCAACGAGTCCCCCTTTTTCCTTCAAATCTCAGGAACTTGCATGCTGTCAGGCGCATTGAAATGGCATCCCCAAAGTTACTATTATCTAGAACTACAAATACAGCTCAAAGTAACTCAGTCCTTCCGTACTCTTCTTTTGCGCACTGATTTCAGTGGGCCATCTCCAGAACCTGTGCTTTCATCAGCTTCTTTCATCTGAAAAATAAAAAAAAGTAAAAAAAATTATTCAGAATTACAATTTTAAACCCATTCTAATTTAATTATTGAAGCTGGCATGTTACTTTACTCCTCCTCCCAATCATATTATCACTGAAAGCAACACTTAAATGATAGGACATTCTTTTTCCCCATGATACTAATCTAACAATAAATCAAATGGGTAGAAGACCTTTCCTTCCTATATTCAGAAGGGAGAGAACAGTACATCTAAACTGACGTCAGAAATTTGAGTTTGCCCACTTACTCACTGGTTTAAAAGCAGTGACTTTTTAATGAATTTAGCAACTTCCTTAAAGTCTGAAGCTGGCATGTTACTTTACTCCTCCTCCCAATCATATTATCACTGAAAGCAACACTTAAATGATAGGACATTCTTTTTCCCCATGATACTAATCTAACAATAAATCAAATGGGTAGAAGACCTTTCCTTCCTATATTCAGAAGGGAGAGAACAGTACATCTAAACTGACGTCAGAAATTTGAGTTTGCCCACTTACTAAAAAAGTAAAAAAAATTATTCAGAATTACAATTTTAAACCCATTCTAATTTAATTATTGAAGCTGGCATGTTACTTTACTCCTCCTCCCAATCATATTATCACTGAAAGCAACACTTAAATGATAGGACATTCTTTTTCCCCATGATACTAATCTAACAATAAATCAAATGGGTAGAAGACCTTTCCTTCCTATATTCAGAAGGGAGAGAACAGTACATCTAAACTGACGTCAGAAATTTGAGTTTGCCCACTTACTCACTGGTTTAAAAGCAGTGACTTTTTAATTAATCTAGCGACTTCCTTAAAGTGCTCCTCCCAATCATATTATCACTGAAAGCAACGCTTAAATGATAGGACATTCTTTTTCCCCACAATACTGATCTAACAATAAATCAAATGGGTAGAAGACCTTTCCTTTCGATGTTCAGAAGGGAGAGAACAGTACATCTAAACTGACGTCAGAAATTTGAGTTTGCCCACTTACTCACTGGTTTAAAAGCAGTGACTTTTTAATTAATCTAGCGACTTCCTTAAAGTGCATCTTATGCTAATTCTAATTTCCCTTCCTTAAGCAAGAAGCGTTTAAAACATTCTAACTGCCACCTTTGGACAGCTATGAGTAGAACAAACTGCTCTTAAATCAGATGTGTTTTTCTCCGTTTCAAAGCAATTAGCTTAGAGGCACATGCAAAGCCCTTCCATGAACTCCTCTCTCAGAAAACACACTGCTTCCTCCCTTTCCTGCACCACCTAATGGCAGGCACCTCGTGCAGAAGGAGCAGCTCACAGAATGCGGCACAACCCGAGCGACAACAAGGTGTGCACGACATCTCCCAAGTAGGTCAACGAGCCAATTCTAGGCCAGAAACTTGTACGCCCTGAAAACACCCAGAGAAGAGCAAGCCAAAACCTCATTGTGATACCCCTGTAGCGGCAAAGGCATTGAGATCATCTTATTATTTTCACAAAGATTCATGGGCATCTTAATGGGGTTCATCAGATACTCTACTCCTAGGTAGGTGTACAAGGAAAAAAAAATTCTTACAGGAACAAGAGGAAGTTATTTAATAAGGGGTAGTTAATGAAGAATTTCAGAGCTGAAACAATGCAACCTCATGCAAGGTACAGCTTCCTAGAGGAGTTTTACACATAAAGGAGTTAACATCACATTAAATAACTCCCCCAATCTGGGAAGGGACTCATTTAGGGAGTGCCAAGCACAAGATGATCAACACAAATACTATGGGTGGATCTAAAGTGTTTCAGACCGACCAGTTTTCTTCACTGAAAGGATAATAAGGAGTTGATGAGCAAGAAAAGCACACACAAATTCTATTCTACCATGTTATTTTTCTGAAAAACATTTTCTAGATTA